GATGCATTCGAACCCACCACCTTAGGTGTATGTGGCTAGCACCTTAACCACTTGAGCCACAGGTGCCGAGCCAGAAATTACTATTCTTTCTTAAGCAGTATCACATTCCTCTGTATACAGTATAGCTTAACTAGACCCCTGCTGATTAGACATATGATTGTTTTCAGTCATATGCCTTTAGAAATATGCTAAAACCTATATAGAGAGAACTACATTAATTGTTGCCTGGGGCTCAGAATGTCACATTTCTTTCTTTCTTTTTTCTTTTTTTTGAGACAGAGTCTCACTATGTTGGCCTAGGTAGAGTGCCATGGCATCACAGCTCACAGCAACCTCAAACTCCTGGACTCAAGTGATTTTCCTGCCTCAGCCTCCCTAGTAACTAGGACTACAGATGCCCGCCATAACGCCTAGCTATTTTTTTGTTGCAGTTGTCATTGTTGTTTAGCTGGCCCGGGCCAGGGTCAAACCCACCAGCCCTGATGCATGTGGCCAGCACCCTACCCACTAAGCAACAGGCACCATCAGAATGTCACATTTTTTATTGAAAAACTACCATCCATAAATCTCACCAATTCCAAGGAAAGCAATTACTTCTCTAAAATTGGTATGTCTTTGCTAGAGGTGGTTAAAACAAATTTGGATCACTAAAAGAAGCCTGCTAGTTCCTGCTTAATACACATTCATTTACAAATAAACATGTAATGAAGGTAAATTGTAGCACTATCAAATTTATTACAAATTCAATTAGTACAATTAAAATAAACTATATCTACTTGTAATAAAGAATGAAATAATTCTTTAGGAATATGGCATCTAAAAAGTCTTAAATACATGCTTTAAGATAGAAAAAAGACTTACCGTCCAAAATTTTATAAAGTACTCTAATACTGTTACTGCCACGAAAAGGCAATATAATAGGGAATATAATAAAAACAGCAGGAAGAATTTGTAATTAGAAAATCCCACACAGTTATTCACCCTGGAAGAATAAAGAAAGTCACACTATAAAAATAAGACAAATTACATATTCACAGAAAGAGACTACAGAATGGGAGTTGCCAAGGGGGCTGGGGTAGGGTGGGGAGAGGGGGTGGGCGGGGGGCGGGGGAAGGAAGGGAGGGAATTGTTTGATGAAAACAGAGTTTTGCAAGATGAAAAAGTTTCAGAGATTGATTGCACAATAATGTAAATATACATACCAAACAACACTAAACTATATAATTAAAAATGGTTAAGATGGTAAATTTTATGTTATGTGTTTTTACCATAATAAAAAAATAAAACAATCAAAAAACGTAATTATTACTGGGAAATGGGTCATTTGGAAAGTCTGTAAAGACGTGTAAAACACGTCTGTAATCCCACCACTGTGAGAGCTGAAGCAGGGCGGATAGCTTGAGCCCAGGAGTTTTGACACCAGCCTAGACAACGATTAGCTAGGTATAGCGGCCCACACCTATAGTCCCAGCTACTTAACAGGCTGAGGCAAGAGGATAGCTTGAGCCCAGGAGTTTGCAGTGAGCTATAATGGTGACACTACACTCTACCCTGGGCAAGAGGGAGCCTGTTTCATAGATTAAAAAAAAATTTGAAGAGGCATATGGAATTTTAATGTTAATTATTAATAATTGTTTGGGTTAATAATAACAGGAGATTTTTAAAAGGAAAACAAATTATATGTACGTATAATATAAATATATACGTATACTGTATATGCCCATAAATAGGTCAATCCAAATATCTATGAGTAAATTGTCCTTCAAAATTTATGAACACCGAAGTAAGTTACTCTTAAATTCTCTCCTTCTCACCTCCCCACCCCCTCAATGCAATTTTCTGTTTTTTATACATACCAAGGACAGTGATGATCCATCTTAAGAACACATCTAAGAAACAAATAAGCATAAGAAAATCTATGCAAAAAATTTCCCCTAACTTTAATTTCTCATAATTTTCTTTTGACTTAAAATTTTCTCTTTATAACTACATAAATAAACTCATTAGAGATAATTCTCATATTTCCACAAGTACTTTCATGTTTTTCTACTCTGAGAATTCAGTTAAGCATATTCAGCTCCATTTGACAACAAAAAATGACATTCTAATATTGAGATCTCGGGTACACTAATTGGTATGTTGGAGATTAAATGGAATACAAATGATCCCAATGTTTTTTAAACACATGCAGGTCATAAAAATAAAACTTTAGAAGCAAATAAGTCAAAATATTAACAATGATGGGCTTGAAAATGATTATTTTTTCCACATATTTTGTAAAATTTTACTTCATGGATAAGCAGACTGTATTTAAGGAATAACAATACAAAACTCAAAATTTCCTCCCTGCTAATATACATATTCTATACTTGTATAAAGTTAGACCATGGATTATCTCAAATACTATAACAAACGAGTATTCTAATACCCAGAAAGCTAAGTAGCTTGTTTAGTTAAAAATCAAGGTTTAGTTGGGATCCCCAAACTAGTGATCTTTCCTTCAACATGTTACTTTCTCACATGCACACACAGGCTCAAATTTTTTTCAAAATTTTCTGGGAGAAATGTCACAGATGGTAATTAAACATAATAATAAAATTATTTTGGTAGCTTTGTTAGGTTTTAATACCAGTATTAATATAAATAAAAAACCTGTCATTATGGCCTTTTTAATCCAGTAAATAAAGGGGGGTTATTAATACTTGCTCATCAATATTATACACTTACCAAGCATAAGCACAGAAAACATATTTAAAGTTAAAGAAAATTCTATCAACTGGTATAGAAATTATCAAAGATTACTTCTGGGTATATTCTAGTTTACATAATATTTCCATTAGCCCTGTGTACATGGCAAATAATGAGAAAGGACAAGTGTTTTTTGCTAACCATAAAACATACAGAGTGTTTCTTCCCCTTCTGTTCTCCCATCACTAATTTCCAGTGCAAGGTTTAAATGAAAGCAAATTAGTAACACTTACGTGTCACATGCTGAGCAATGATGTGCCCGATCAGGTTTAATCAACTGACATTTTTCACAGTATCTGATAGCTGTATAAAAGAAGAAAAAGGAACATGTTGAAGGACATACATGTACAAGCTTAACTACTTTGACTATAAAACTTAATCTTTACTTTTCCAATAAACAACTGCGTAATTGACAGTTAATGTTAAAATGATGCCAAAAGGTACTAGGTAGCTTTTCAAATGAAAACATCAAGAGATAGGACAGAAAATCAGAAATGTAGTTTGCTGCTGGGCATGGTGGCTCACACCTGTAAAACCAGTACTTTGGGAGGCTAAGGTGGGTGGATTGCCTAAGCTCATGAGTTTGAGACCGACCTGAACCAGAGTGAGACCCCATCTTTAAAAAGTAGCCGGGCATTGTGGCAGGTGCCTGTAGTCCCAGCTACCTGGGAGGCTGATGCAAAAGGATCACTTGAACCCAAGATTTTGAGGTTGCTGTGAGCTAAGATGCCATGGCACTCTAGCAACACAGTAAGACTCTGTCTCAAAAAAAA